GTTAACCTGAAGCGCACGCAAAGGAGAGGGACCCAACATGTTCTATTACCTGCAGAATCCCACCCGAATATAACATGGGTGGCCTCCACCTAGTGCGACTCCTTATTTTTAATGACAACACAAAGTGGATCGCACGCATACAGTTGCGGGAATGCAATTCAGAATCGATCAAACATCTACTCCACGAGGTACATACTCTTGCCTTAATTCGCGAACAAACACGTATCCCTGTGCCTCAAGTGTTCGGATATGAACTTAGCCGTGTAAATATTGTTGGAGCTGCCTTCATGATTATGGAGTTTATTCCAGGAAACACAGCAATGGATGCATTTGGTGGCTGGCATGTTCACAAGGGAGAGATTCCTTCCAACTATAAGGCAAAGTTTTTTCGTGCCATTGCAGGCATACAGGTACTCCTGACTACTCCTTGCTAAGTGTCCAAGAGCTAACAGATAAGCAGGTGGAAATGGCTTCTATACGATTTCCCAAAATTGGGATGATTGTAAAACGTGAAGACGGCACTTATGATATCGATCCAATACCAGGGTTAGGGGGCCCATTTAAAACCGCGTCAGATTATTTTGAAGCCTGGGCAAATCATGCCAAATTTCCCAGACGAGAGAGTGATCTTCGGAGACAGTTACCTCCCAACCTTTCAGACGACATAATTGTATCAATCCAGCAATTTCCCTGCCAGCTCAAAAAAGTAACGCGCCAAATTGTCCGCTTGAATACAGGACCTTTTCCGCTCTGTCATATGGATTATCGTCACAGCAATGTCATTGTAGAGGGAGATTACAACATTCTTTCAGTTATTGACTGGGAAAACGCTTGCACGGTCCCTTGGGAGTTAATGGCATTCCCCTTGTTTTTGACCATAATTCCCCCCCCAATGGACGCACCATGGAATTACGATTCAAATGGACTACCCAAGGATCAAGACGTACGACAGCTATGGGAAGAACGGGAGGATTATGTCCGGATGGTACAGTATGCTGAAGAGAAACAGAATGTTGACAACAGCCTATCCACCACACTCGCCTCGCAAGACATTCAGAGTCTAGCATCTGCAGTAAAGCTTTACTTAGAGCCTGGGAAGATTGGGTTGTACTGCAAAGTCTTGGACTGTTTTCGGGTGGACCTCAAGTGATGGCTGGGAAGCTCATTAAATAGTCAGTACATGTGAAGAGGTTTTGGCGTCGATAGTGCTCGGGATGCAGGAAATATTTTATTTAGTTCTTCGGCCATAGCAAGCGAGATGAAGTGGTGTCATTCCTTCCCTATCTCGAGCACCAAGATCCGCTCCTCTTTCGACTAGAACGCCAATGATACTGGAGGGAAGCGACAAGCTGCAATCTGTAACGGAGTCTGCTGCTTGTAGTTCAGCAACAACTCGGCCACCGCTTTGTGTCCATGTAAAGCGGCTAAATGAGCGGAGGTCCCAAAATACATCCCAGTTCCTACGAATTTCATCTAGAATCCATAGCACTACTCCTATGTACAGTGGCGAGGCCCATGTTGGCGCAGCGTGTAAGCTGGTTGGCATTATAGTGACAAAAAGCAGCAGCAGCATCATCCCAGTTTTGCCTATTTACGATTATCCCTCAGGTCGCCTACCCGCATATTACATCTCACCTCTATGGCCTCATAAATTATATCACCAGCTGCTAATGCCGATGTGATAGCAGCTTTCGGGTTCGCCTGAACACACCCTCCTCCTGTTTCTTCGAAGTATCGACCTCCGCGTGGCGCAAGGCCGATTCCGTCCTCTCCGGGAAACACCGCTCTATCTCAGGCCAGAATATTGGCTCGTCCGATTCTCCCACAGATATTCTCAGACTTAACAAGTGTCTCAACGGAACGACAGCCTTTAGCTATATCACCAGTCAAACAAAATGCCGAACACTCTCTCTGCAGATGTCTGGTGCTATATTGTCCGATATCTTGATTGTTAAGCCTATACAAGCCTTAGTATGGTTGATAAAAGTCTCCATGCTCTTCTAGAGGATGAGAAAGTGGCTCGCACGGTTATTTGAGTAATGATTTTGCAATCAGCTTGCTATCTCTACAGTAGTTCATTCATTCATTCATTTTTATTTTACTGTTTTCTTTATTCTTATTCTTCAACTCTTGTTAGTTCTCTGTGAAATCTTTGACAGAAGACACTATTATTTTTATATGTAATATTCTTTCTTCAGTTATAGAACTGCTCTGCTGAGTTGCAAATATCTACTCAGTAAAGCAGTGATTAAGATAGATGTCAGATTACCTCTCTACAGACTGATCACTTTCATATAAGTGAGGTGTTCATCAATTACTTAGCAAACGCCTATCACACATAAAAGGCCGCATAATAGATAGATCTCAATAATTAATCAACTACTCTATTATATTATCTTTATTAAATTAATTGTATACTAATCTAACTGTGCAGTATTCTATAGATGTATGAGTTACATAGTTTTATATAGACTGGCCGCCGGGATTATAAATTTCATATTTAGTCTTATTTAATCTGATCTTATACATTTCTTGACATGAATTTCACTGAGACTAATTATTAAAAAAACATGCAAAGTGACTATATATCAGATCTCAAAATGAAATCATGACTTAGAAAAAATAAGAAAGTAATTTTATTTGATCTTATTTAGTTTTATTCTTGATATAAAGTTACTATTTTTAGACATTTTAAGGTTTTTTTTAGACTATTTTTAATTTTTTAAAAAGTAACACTTTTTGATAATACTTAAATGAGATTTAAAGTCATTTAAAGCAATAAAAATAATTTAAATTAAGAAGTGAAAATCATGATCTTATTTGAAAAATGTGATAAGAGTAGACAGTAAGTCTCACTGAAATAATAGAAAACTACTATTTATTCTTAAAACTGTGTAATAAGATCAGTTAAATTGATAATAAAACTATTAAAAATTCTGATTCTGATTTCAGACACAGTCACACAGTTAGTCTAGTTTTATATAGAGTATTCAGTTAATAATATCTGTATTTTCTTTTATATAATGAATACTTATCTGTATTTAACATTATATAAGAACTTATTATAAGCTTTGCTTCTATATAAGTATAATAAAGAAATAATAATAATAACAAGTATTAAATACTTACTTACACTTGTTTTACTGCTTACGCCGTCTCTTCTATTACTTTCACTTTCTATCTTTATCTCTCTTATTATCTCTTAAATCTTTATTACTTCTTATCTCTCTATTATCTCTTTTACTCTCTATTTGCTCTATTATCAGACTGACTGTATAACTAGACTGACTGCTGAGGTCATGAATTTTACATTTAATCTCATTTGATCTGGTTTTATACATTTCTTAGCATGAATCCTGCTGGAACTAGTCATTAAAAAAACATGCAAAGTGACCATATATAAGATCTTAAAATGAAATCATGACTTGAAAAAAATGAGAAAGTGATCTCATTTAATTTCATTTAGTTTCATTCTTAGTATAAAGTTACTATTTTTAGACATTTTAAGGTTTTTTTTAGACTATTTTTAATTTTTTAAAAAGTAATACTTTTTGATAACACTCAAATGAGATTTAAAGTCATTTAAAGCAATAAAAATAATTTAAATTGAGAAGTGAAAATCATGATCTTATTTGAAAAATGTGATAAGAGTAGACAGTAAGTCTTACTGAGATAGTATGAAACTACTATCTAATGTTAAAACTGTGTAATGAGAGCAGTTGAATTGATAATAAAACTATCAAAAAATCTGATTCTGATCTCAGACACGGTCACATGATCAGTCTATGTATAACTATATCTGAGATTAGAATCAGAATATTTGATAGTTTTATTATTAATTTAATTAATCTTATTTATAATGAGCTGCATCTGATCAATTATATAGACTATTTTATTACACTTTACAGATATCTATCACTTCATTCTCAATCACTGATTCTCAGCTGCTATGAACGCGTATACTCTAATTCTCAGTGATTCTCAATCATCAATTCTTAACTATTATAAATGTGTATAAATTCTTTCACTTTAAGCTTCACTGCATACATTATTATATACATATATAAATATTCACTTTAATTACTGATTCTTACACTTTCTCTTTCTTTTTCTTCTTTAACGTTTTTCACTTTATTATATATAATCTTATAAATATTATACTGATCTATTCAGTATAGATCTTCTATACTTGAAAAACATTCATTATCTTCTTATTAAAAATAATTATTCACACTTATTATCTTCTTATTAGAAATAATTACTTAATAAGAAGATATCTGAATATGTACTAATATGTAAGAAATGAAAAATAACTAAACAGTTAAGTAAATACTGAGTTCTCAGATAGAAGCTTACTTATCAGTTACTCTGACTCTGTAATAAAATCTTATAAGAGAATATTAGTAAAAGATCTGAGAGTTCTAACACTCTAGATATATAAGATATTTATATAATTACACTTCTTCAGATTTTACAGATATTATATATTCAATAAATAATATATCTAATAATAATATAAGAGAACTCTTAAATACAAGTATAAATATAATATTACAGTGACTCTGAGTAATTGTAAGAATAAGTACTTATAGATGATTATTCAAGTGTTTACAGCTTGATGTGATATGTACTATTAACTACTAGAAGTATTCACAGTAGAAAGATAAAATATAAAAATTAAATGTATAATAGCATTCAAGCTGAGTTATAAATAGTATTCACAAACTTCAGTTTATATAGTTGTATATAGTCAAGAGCTGCTAACTCTATTAATTATATAAGAGATAGAAATAGAGATAAAGAATCTGTAAGAAGTGAGATTTCTTACATATTTCTCTCTCTCTAAGACTTTATCTGCAAAGCCTTTCACTCAGTGATTTTATAGAATCAGCTCAGCACTGTAGTAATACTCACTAAAACCGCCCCGGTGGCTGAATGGTTAATGCGGCCACCTGGTAGCGCCTTGGCGTGGGAAACCAAAGCATGTGGGTTCAAAACCCGCAGGGGATACATTAAATTCAGAACTCAAGCACCTCAGGTTTCTAATAAATACAGAGGTGTACAAAATGCTCCAACAAAATTGCTCTATGTTTCTGGAATGGAAAGTTATTATTATATGTATCTAATTGTCACTTCTTTGTATTTTTCTATGTTCTTGTTATCTTAGTATGATCTTAATATCTGTATTTCCTTCTGTATAATTAACACTTAATCTGTATTTAACATCATATAAGAACTCATCATAAGCTCCGCTTGTATATAAGTATAATGAAAGAATAATAATAATAATAATAATAATAATAATAAAAAATCTCTTTTTATTATAAAGAGAAAAGAGTCTGTTACTTAGTTTCTTACTCTATAAAATTCTTTATAATTTACAGCTTCTTCTCTAATTATTATACAGATTCATCTTATATCTTTTATACAAAAGAGTTTCAGTTAACTCTTAATTATCTTGTAAGATTCTTGTATAATTATTATATAGATTTATTCTACAGATAAATAACTCTCTATAAGATTATTCTTATCAAAGAGAAGTATTTATAAGTTAATCTTTCACTTATTCTCACAAATTATCATTCTTTAACACTGTAGAATTGTAAGAAATTTTTCATTCTTTCATTCACTCTGTAGAATTATAAAATCAAGATATTTACAGTCTGTAATAACTCTTTATAATTATATAGAAAGATTTAGATCTGTAATTCATAGTCACTCTTTATTTACTAGAGTAATCTGACTGTTTTATGAGATTATTTATAGTATAAATAAACCTCTCTAGAGTAGTATAAATATCTCAGATCTGTTTATAAAATCTTATCTTCTTTTTTCTTTTTTCTGTAACAGTTCTTATTCTTATAAACTGTGAGTATCTTTATTCATCTGTGAAGTGTTTTTACTTAGATAATAGAGAGAGAGTATTTCTAATAATATCTGTATATTAATTTAAGAACTTCTTAAGAATAAAAAAATTTTTCAATTTTAATATCTTTATAAATAATATCTGATCACTGCTGAGCTTCTCACAGATGTCTCTGTAACTTCTCTAATTACTTTTTACTGACTGATAAAGTAGAGATATTATTACTTATAACAGTATCTTTACTCTTTTCAGCTCTATCACTGTATCTGATTTTCAGATTAGCA